TTTTTAGTAGTTACTACTGATTTTACAGCATTTGGTGTGTTTAAGTGATTTTATTACTTGTTTCAGGTTAGCTGGAAATATAATTTCGGCTAGTTTTTTGCTATAACCAAGAGATATTAAATTTTAAACGATTACTGGAACCTTAATGAACTTAAGATTTACGAGTTGGTAATAAGTGTCAAAACCTATAAACATTTTCAGTTAATATCTTTTTATCTATTTACGGTAAAGTATAGTCTATTTGTTGTATAAAAGTAGCAGCTTAAGCGGACAATAATATTCATAATCGCATTGCCAAATTTCGTAAGAACTAGCTTTCAATCGATTTGTAAATAACATACCCTCTCATTCTAGTTTCGAGTCATAATTTTTAATTTATTGTGCATTAAAACGAATTCGTGACGTGACTACTAAACATTCTACTCTTTTTACTCTCTACACCCTCAAAGCCGACCTTCGGAAAGCCTTCACACACATAAACACTAATTTAGATCAACATATCCGAAGGTTGGAAGAGATCGTTCTTTACACAGACGGTTGGTTACAAGTCGGCAACCCTGCGTATCTTCCCAACCGTGCATCCGTGACTACACAAAAGACACACACACCACATTTAGTCGCAACTCAAAACAAATTTTGTGCTTTAGATTATGAAACATATTCACACGTAAGCTTCAGCGGCTCCATAAATTCTTGGCTATCCGGGAGACGCCTTGTCGATGGCTGAGAGGTCTATGTTTCACCTGACATGTCACAGGCTTCTTCAGGGCAGTGTCAGGCGAAACGTTGACCTCTCAGCCAACGACACGGCGTCTCCCAGATAGCCAAGAATTTATGAAACAGATTTTCATAGCCTTCTTGATCCCCACTACTCCTTTATCATCGACAATTACATGCACAAACCAACGCAAACATGCTAGGAAGCGTATCAAAACCAAAACGCGCAAAGCTGCGCATCCTAGTCCACTTGAAAACAAAAACATTCCTACCGGGTCTAAAAAACAAATACTTATTTTAGCTGACAGCCATGACCGCCATCTTTCGTCCATTCTCAGTCGGAAATTACACTCCAACTTCTCAATCTCATCTATTTTTAAACCTAACGGGGGATTTGCAGGCATTACAGTAGTTGGACATCCACACGAAGACAATGACCAATCAGGACACAGTCATTATCATAGGAAGGCAGAATGACATTAATTTGGACGGCGACTACACCTGAACAATGTGTAAACAAATTACAATGTGCCTCCCAAAATACTATCATTGTAGTCTCGACTCTGCCTTTCTGGTACAACAGACCAACAATATGCAGCGAGATTAAACACGCAAACCAACAATTAAAATTACAACTAAAAGAAACAACAATAACACTTTTTGAAATTAATTTCCTCTCAGCAAAACACTTCACCCGGCATGGTATCCATATGAACCTTGCTGGGAAACATACAGTTGGCAACAAGTTTGCACAACACATCATCAACTCTAGTCCTACGCAGTCCCCTGCCTAAAATCCATCCCTTTCATCTTCCTTACGTTCTCCATCCTCCATCCTCCAGCCATATTTCGAACCTTCTTACCACCTCTGATCCTACTCCCGTTTTTCACAATCCCACTACCAATTCACCTACAACGGATGCCCCAATTCCCACACAACCTGTCACTGCTGGGAGACATAACTACCTTCGACCATGCACTCGAGGTAAAAATGGAGTAAATATATAGCAACTTCAGTCAGATACAGTAGAAAAACATCCGTGTAGGTATTTGCAAAAGATAAACATACTGCACCATAATGTTCAATCCATTTCAAATAAAACTGAGTTTATCGAAGCAGCTCTACCAAGGGATTTAAATCAATGTGTATGTTCTCTGCTTTACAGAACATTGATTATTTTATAATGAACTTAACATTTTCCAAATTCCAAACTTTTACTTCCCAGACTATTATTATAGAGAAATGTAATCACATATAGTTCCTGCTTATGGGGATTCTTGCATTTACATTATAAACAATATTGATTCTATCTCCTTGAAGGAATTACATGTGTATTCCGTTGAAAATGTTTTTGAAATATCTGTAGTAAATCTTCCTATGCTAAAAATTATATTATGTTCTTAGAAAAACTGGTGATAACACTAAACCAAGTCAACAATCGCTCTTACAAATCCATTGTTTTATACGGAGATTTTAACATTGATTTTTTGGTCGAATCGTGCGAGAAAGAGAAGTTTCTCAACTTTTAAAACATTCCTTCAGTTTATATATTACAATAAATGTACTTACACAAATCACACTAAATTCAAAGAAGGCAATCTATCAAATAATAATTAACAAAATCATTACTCCATATGAAATTGAAACAAAAGATTTAGGATAGTGATTTCATGGAAAAATCAATTCTTGGATAATACAAGGGACTACGACATCATGTAAAAACAAACGAATTCTTTCTTTCATTTCTAAGCATCATAACGTATCTCAAGATTTCCTCCTCTACTTTAACAAATACAAATCATTGTTAAGAAAAGTCATAAGGCAGGCTAAAATCATGAAACGTGATCAGGATAATTTGAACTCAAATAATAAAACAAAATCAATATGGAATGTAGTAAAAAATTGACCAAACCAACTAGATACCTAGTAGAGAATGTTGTTTTAAAAGATAACGATAGAAATACGAACGATCCGCCAACAGTGGCTAGTCTCTTTACCAATATTTTCCGCAAATTACTGCCGATCTCACTAAGGGTCTACAGCCTCAAAATTCAACATAAGACGTTTCCCAAACATTTTAGACACGATGTTCGTTTCCGAAACTTATTCCTATGAGTTTCTCAAAATAATCGGTATACTAAAAAATAAATATTTGGCCTGGGTAGATGAATTTCCGGATTGTTTGTGAAAGACATCTACGTCCACGATTATTCATCCGATTCCTCACATTTTTAATGTATCCTTATGCCCAGGAATTTTTCGAGATCTTTTTAAAACAGCTAAGATTAAGCCAAAAATTGTTGAAGTTTTGCAATTCTCCATAAATATGTGTTTTCAATGTAAATAAGTTTCACGCCATTTTAAAGATTTTTTACGCTGTCCAAGAATAAAGACGAATTTAAAAAATTGTTTATTTTAAAAAAATATTGACGCTTGATGGTTGGTACCGTAACCGAAAAATGAAAATATCTGATTCAAACTCGTGGGCCTTCAGTTCGTTCAAATTGGGGAATATCAATTTTGGGGAAAATGGTGTGAACAGTTTAGGCGTTTTGCTATTAACGTTTTTTGTTATCCACCCACAAAACATGGATTTTGGCTACACAGCGTCTTAGAAGATTTTCTACGTACAGGAATAAGTTTGAGGTTCACTGTTTTGTTACTAGGGCTTGGCAACATAGTGCCAAGATTACACTGGTTATGATCCATTAAATGCTCTAACATTAATTTACAATAACCTAACGGTTTGGAAGAAATTTGTGAAATCGAAGTAGAAAAAACAAGAAGTAAGGTAATAACAACAGTGGCAACTGCATCAGTAGTAGCCACTCAAGAACAAAATTTGAAAAATAATAATTGGAGGCAAATCACTTGCTTGGACCAGACACCTTGTGGCGTGGAAAGATAGAGAATAGTGAGATACAAACTAGTAAATTAAAACTGGACTAATTTTAGGCCATGGATCTATTCTAAAAGAGGTTTGGTAATCATCCATTGAGTCTTACACAACAGATTTAGTGCTGTAGTCCAAGAATTTTGAGAAAACTATGATGAAAATATTTTAAACTTTGGTCACAACTGATGTGAACATATAACGAAGGTCCAATACAGTAGCCTAAGAATGTGAAGACCAGTGAAGACAGTCATTCTTTCATAGAGAATCGTATTCAAACCTGATGCCTACAATCCCATGACTGAAGTATTCTCGAGAACTTTTGCATTATATTAATGTAAAACAGTTGGTTGATTAAGGAAACCCCTCAAAATATTTGAAGGCACTTATTCAAATATACTTCTCTAGAACAATCAAGATGAAATATGTAATACCAGTACCAACACTTTGAAGCTAAAAGGCATAAAAGTATTAATGACTAAGTAATTAAAATTAGTTTATTGAATTATCACATGAAACAAAAACATGTGTATAAATTTATTCAATTATTTTTCTGTGCTAATTTGTATTGCTCAAAAGTATAGGGTACTTCTTATTTTAAATGTTCTGTTTTCATTTTATAATTAGTCAATGAGTGGATCATAACTTAACATTGATATGGTTTTCAGTTGTGACACTTGAAATTGAAGTAAATGATTTACACTTCATTTTTACTTAACCATTCATAAACAAACAACAATTCAGAGTTAAGACTCTTTAAAAAATATGACTGTGATTTGTTCAGATATTGAAACGTGTTGCAAAACGAAACCTCGTGACCAGAAGTCTGGCGCCGTGCAGGCGCACGAGTAGGGTTTAGACAGGTCAGGGGGGTGGGTAGAGAGTTTGAATAGAAAGGGTGCCGGGGTGGAGGCGCCCCTAGGTAATTTGGGAACATCCAAGAATCCATGGGGAGGGATGCCCAAAACTGCGTGGAAGCGCAGAGGTCACGTGGCGGAAGTCGCCGCACGAACACAAGCTGACGTCGCATGGCACGTGGGTGGAAGGCGAGCGTGCAAGCGCAGGGGTGGATTTTTGAGCTGTGTGAAAACCTCGTGCAAACTCTTGAAACTTGTGCCCAGGGCGGTGCGGTGGCGAGTTATGCTTGTGGGGCTCTCGTTGAGGAATAGAGAAGGCCTCGCATTAGGTCGATATTCAATCGGATAAGAATCGCTCCTGCGATCAGGGACGGGTCTATCAGAGCTGTAAATAACTGAACTTTTTATTTGTAAATACTCATTTATTAATAAACTTTATAAATATCTGAGCTCGTGTTTCTGTTTGCTGTTCTGTTCCCACGACGTCACTATATGATTAGAGAATAATTTGTGAATTTTGTAATTGTAATACAAAAAAAAAATGTTTTTCTGTTCACTTCACACACAGACCTTCTAACATTAGTGTTCTTTTAATTGAGCTCTTTATGTGCAATGTGTATTCATGATATATCAATCACTGCAAACAAAAAGGTTCAATGTTACATTTTGCAGGTTTAGAGTTAATTGTGGAAAACTGTTCTTAAAATATAAATTTAACTTTCCATGCATAAAAGTTCATTGTCTGTGAACGGTGTGGCATGTGTAGAGTGTCCTTCAGGTGCTTATTTGAAGAAAAAATGTTTGATGCCCAGAACTTAGAACCTTTTTGCATGCTCTTCAAAATTTGAAGTTCCTGGGCATTGAACGTTTTTGTTTTCTCAGATTCGTATGTGTAATCTATTTTTAAAATTATATTGCGTAGTTCTCTAAATATGATATTAAACATGAAACTTTTCATTGTTAGTGGTTGAATTTGTTCTTTAAAAATAATTTTTCCTATTACATTTGTGTTGATGATGCCCCATTTATCAATCAACTGTTCTGATAATAGCAGACTTTTGACATTAAAAGTCTTAGATTTGGTGAAATATCTTTTTTCTTTTCTTTTTTTCTCTTTTTTCTTCTTTTTTTCATGTTCTTACTACTAAATATAATTTATCATAATTATTTTATCACTGTATGATATTTTATAATTATGATATTTTATGAAATAATCATTATTTTATCATAATTATTAGGTCAATAGTCATTTGATCTATTTCGGTCTTTTGCAGAGTACTTGCTAGTTGAATATTGATCACTCTGATATCCTCTATCAGTACCTCTTTCAGAATATTTGCTTACAGAATATCTGTCACTATAATAATCTTCAGGATATTTTTCTTCTGCTTTGTAATGAATTTCAGATGAACCAATTTGCTTCTGCCAATGACGAGTCCAGTATAAATCCTCTGGATTCACATCTTTTGGTGATTTAGCATCCTTACATACAGATACACAATAGATTAGACTTCCTATTAACGTTAAGAAGCCAAATATGAGGAATATTATTCCCAGGATCCTGTGAGGGAGAATTATATTTATTAATATAGTAGCAAGTATTAAGTCAGTAGTCAATATTATTTCAATGGCATTTTAAATACTCACCAAACAAAAAGTGGCTCAAAGAACTGAATCACCACGACAAATCCAAGAGTTACAAGTATCAGACCTAAATTAAGAAGCAGCATGAGGCAGCACATGCCTCGTGTATTTGGGCAAAAAGGGTTAGGTGCTGACATTGTCTCCACAACTAGAGCACCTTTTCGAGATGTCTTGCTTTTCACACTCTTGGCTGTAGAAAGTTCTGATGGAGATACACAATTTCTATTGTGTCTGCTTGGGGGTCCACCACTGTGGTATGAATAGTGGCTCGGGCTGTATAATGAACCACGGCTGAAAATCAAATCAAAAGAATTAATTTGTAGGGGAAACTGTCGTTTCTAGGGACAAAATAAGTTTTCGAGATGTTTGTGAGAAATTTGGGATTGATATTTTCTCTTCATTACTATTGCAATTTTTGATTATGAAAGTGAATGATTTTGTAATGTGATTAGTATTTTTCCGTGATTTTATGAGAATTTAATAGATTTGATGAGTGGAAAGTACAAATGTCTGTGATTTTGTTATCTCTACTATTATTTTACAAAAACTGAAGTAGATCTGCACTTACTAGCATAGAACGTAGTCAATTCAAGGTGTATACTTCTTTCCTAAAGGTAACATACAATTAACAGTAGCCGTGTTCATTCTTAATTGCAGATTGTTGATGTACCTGGGAACATCTCTAGGTACGTAAATGTAGTATTAAATTGAATTAATTGGTTTCAGGATCTGGCTTTGCCACAAAGCAAAGGAAGCAATGAAAGACTTCAACCACCAGCAGAAACAATTAATAGGACAATTTTGATTGTTGTCAAAGGTTGTAATTTCAATTCTTTGTTCAGCAATAGAAAATGACAAATCTGAAAACGAAATTGACGAAGGTTCTGCAACATATGAAGTTGACATGGAGGACGTAAAAGTTAAGCGCCCTCACCCATCTGTGTTTGGTTGTTTTCAAAGGCAGCAGACATTTGTTTTCCATATTTCCTTTATAAGTTGTAATCTAGATTGAAGTCCTTTCTGCTTAATAAATGGTGTTGTTACATCCTATGAAGTTGACATGGGGGACAGAACATGAGCTCCGGAACTAATCTGATTGGTTGTTCTTATGGTCAAGATTTTTTTTTATAAGATATTTGTTTATTATAATCTAGGCAACAGTCCCGTTTGTTCAACAAATGTTATTGTGATATTCTCTCCAAGAACAAAGAACACACATTTATTCAGTTGTACATAAAGTAAATTCAGTTTTTTTGAACTTTACAGACAGAGTCCCCTGGTACAGTATTATGTACCAGGGACATCAGCACACAATGTACACAAACAAAATTATCTCAAAAGTAATCTTATAGAGTGTTCTTAAAAATGTTATTATTACACAGAATTATGCATAGGTGAGTAGCATTCTGAAAACCTGTACATCAACAATTTCACATCCAAAGCAAGGGAGAAAAAAGTTAAATCATGAAATGTGTCACTAGGTATGACAGTTTCCCTTACATGTAATGTAAAATATACTAGATGTGCTGGTAATAAGTTCAATCACAAAACTAAATACTAAATATACAAATATTCTAATTTCTATAAAAAATTGAGAGTGTAGATAAGTAATTAGGTTTTTGCATGTTCAAAGTAATGTAATATCTATATAAGAATCATTGCAAAACAGTGTATATATTACTACAGGAAATTGACTACATTGTTTAAAATAATTTTCACTGACACAGTGGCGTAATGTTAAGGCCTGCAATGTGGGATAGCCCAGGTTAAAAAGGGCCTTTTTTTAGGTGATATTTTTATTTCAGGTACTAATATTTCTTGTGTTTGCTATACACTTTTATAAAGGAAACCCAAATAAAAGTTTTATGGCCTGCACTTAATTCGTTACGCTACTACACTGTCAAATTGATACTAATTATAATAATGACTATTATTATCATCAATACTATCATTATTGTGTAAAACATTGTATTTGACACTGCAATATATACCCAAAATATGTTCATTATATAATTTTACCTGTGTTCAGATGGTGCTCGATAAGCTCCACTTGTAACATAAATATCAGATCCATCATTGTCATGTCGGTTTGAACGGGATTGCTTATGAACACTTGCTACACTATCTTCTCCATCTGTCCAGTATACAGCTCTATCACCTCTGGAGGTGTTGACTGTTGGTGACTCAGCCACGTAGTGGCCACGCTTAGTTGAATGAACCATTCTTGAGATTCTCTGTCTGGAATAGTTCAGAAGTTTACTTTATTGTTGTTGTTATTATTATTATTATTATTATTATTATTATTATTATTATTATTATTATTATTAATGTTCTTAAAGATGGAGAATTTAATTATTTTTTAAAATTGTATTGAACAAACAGTTTACAAACTGATTAACTTTGTTGACAAGTAGGTTACACTACAGTAATTATAATTAATTGAATATACATATGAATACATATAAAAATACACAACATAAGAAAATACATAGGAAAATGAATGTGATACATACATTATAACTACTAATATATAACACATATAGAAATACACAACACAAACTAGTGAAGCTACAACAACACATTCTTTATCGTATTATTTGTAACTGCTCCCCAATATTACACCACCAAATGAACCTGCAAAAGTATTTTCAACCGACAACTTTTTTTTCCGCTTCTTGACTCAACATCAGGTCCTCAAAGTTAAATCGCCATGCAATCTACCCCTGCGCCATGGAACCGCACTGACGTTTCAACTCGGGCCAGTGCTTAAAAATAAAATTATCTCAACCCAATATTTCCAAAACGGAATTTTCTAAAAATTCAGAGAGATCAACAAAAATGAGACCTATACTGAACTTTTAAACATCACTTGATTTATCCAAAGACAAAAAGTAAAGAAAACAATTGAAGCTGTTTATGAGAAAACGTTTTTACTTTCTCGCTACGGAGTAGAGAGAAAGTTATGTAATGCTATGTGAAACTATAATGGTGCTTTCTCGCCCGTATTTTCACGCAAAATTACGCGAAAACTATTTAGAGTTTCGAAAATTTGGACATGATCTTATTTCAAAATCTTTCTTTAAGTATCAGATTTCATTAATGGAAAAATTTATATTTTGATTGAAATACAGTTTTCAACAAACATGAGACCTGTACTCCTAAACGTCCTGTAAACCTGCTTCTTTTAAACGTCCTTCACAAAATCCAACGACAAAATTTAATCAAAAACGATGCAGCCGTTATTGAGAAAAAAAAAATTAATAAAATTTAAAAATGCCTATATTTCATGCACTATTACGCGAAAATAATTCAAATTTTCAAAAACTTGTACATAACTTTATTTCAAAGTACATTTTTAAGAAACACAGAGGGAAAATCTAAATTTTATAATTGTAGCTATGGAAAAAAATTTGCAATTTTTGAAAAATCGGGGTTTTTAACGAACATGAGACCTGCACCATTCTCTTAAACATCCTTCACGCTATGCAACAACAAAATTTAATCAAAAGCGATTGAGCCATTTTTTGAAAATTTCGGAAATGTCCCAGGGCTACATGAAACCCCTGCTACCCCCAAAATTGAAATATCGGTTACAAATTCAAGGGGCCGCGATATCAGACATCGAATAGTGAATATCAATTTTGGAGAAAATCAGCTGAATGGTTTATCCACTAGCGTGTTCACAGACGGACGGACAGACGTTTTGCAGTCATTCGATTTTTCGGTATGAAGGACCCACTAAACATGGATTGTGATTACAGCTCGTGTTAGATGATTTTTTCTAAATTTAGCAAATTTTCCAAATTCTTGCAACTGGATTTATTTGCTTTTTCGTTCCAAGAGTCTGGCAATAAGAGTTTTGCTGGCGAAAACTTGCCGTTTTTTCGCGCCGTATTACATAAATTTCTCTCTACACTAGAGGGAGTGGAGTAAACTAGTGGTGCTACAAGTGGCACAGACTTTCTCGTAGTAAAGATTTCTAATATCCTTGGTGTGGACTGACTACGGTCTCGCTCCATCCTCTTGTCAGGTACCATCGATCGCCACCCAAAATACATTTTTTTGGCATTTCCTCATTTTTTAAGTTTCCTAATCGTAGAACAGAAGTATTACTTTAAGAATATTAAAAAATAGTAAAACCTCGTCATAAATGGATATTTTCATTGAAAAATGTGGAGCCTTGTAAGAAAATGACGTTTAATCGAAATGACGTTTAATGCGAAATTTGAAGCTCTTTTTCACACAACTTTTTTGAGTTTTCGAAAAACTTAATTAGCGGTCATTTGAAGTACATCTACTCACGAATACAATAATCTCTATACAATAATAATTTATACAAATCTCTGAAATTGTGCATATGAAAGGTGTGAGAGATTTAAAAAAAAATACATTCGCGTAACTTTTGAAGAAAAAAAAAAGAAACAGCGATATGAACTTTATGTTATTTTTAAAAGTGCAATTAGCATTACCCGTTGGAAAAGTTTGAACAAAGAAATTGGCGCCATTTTTTAGAAACTGGCATTTGAACGTTTCTAAAATTGCAGAATTTTGAACTCATTTTAAGAGAAAACTGTTGAGTTTTCGAAAAAAATATATATATGACATTATTTAAAGCACATGTACCCATAAATACCCTAAAGTAAACAACCTTCCGCTAATGTAAATATTAACGACGGGAGAGACAAGTCAAACAAACTACATTTTTAAAATGTTTGAAAATACAAAAGGATAGACCAATAGGGTGTTTGTGTCCTCTTATACACTGCATATAGCACAGCCCCTAGCAATAGTTTAAAGAAAAAAATTGGAGCCGTTTTTGAGAAAAAAAGTTCTTTTTTTGTAATTTTTACTTTCTCACGCGCACTTACTAGCGTAAGAAGAGAAAGTATTGTAATCGTGCGCCGGAAAACTGCGAATTTTGACACAAAATCTCTAATTGCCAGGCCCTGGAGACGAAATGGTAGATAAAGTCAGTAGCTAATATAGAAAAAAAAACATATAACAGGTGGTGTAGCCAGAAACAACCCGTCGTGGGTCCTTGACACCGAAAAATCGATTATTGGCAAATGACCGTCTGTCCGTCCGTCTATGCACGATAGCGCATAAACCGTTCAGCCGATTTTCTCCAAAATTGATATTCTCCATTCGTTCTAGCTGATGTTGCGGACCCTGCAATTTGAAACCGAAATTTTAGTTTTGGGGGTACTTTACATAAAGCTCCTGTGACATCACAATTTTCAAAAAATGGCTCCAAATAGTTTGATAAAATTTGTTTGTTGTAGTGTGTAATGAACCTTCAAGAGAATGGTGCAGGTCTCAGTTTCGTTAATATACCGGATTTTTCGAAAATTAAAAAAAAAACTTTTTAAATTTTCAAAATTAGAGATAGATATTTTTGTCTCAGACAAAGACTGTCGTACAAAGTACAAGTACACTTGCTGTTGTACAAAGTCTTCGTAAAAGGCCATGTGCAATGTTTTGAAAAAAACGAGTAGCTTGAGCGTATTTTGCGATTGAAATTTACAAAATTGTTTGTTTTTTTCCCTCAAAACCCGCTCTAAACTTTTTCCTTAAATTTTCTTCAGTTTTGTAATGAAGGTCTAAAAAACATTGTCCAAGTCATATTTTCGTGTATTGCTCGGTTTTCTGAAAATTAAAAAAATTAAACTACAAAATTTAAGATAGACATATTTCAGACAAAGTCTGTTCTACAAAATTAGCTCTTTTTAAAAGGTAATGTACAGTTCTTTGCAAAAACCTATACGTAGTTTTGCGTAATTTGAGTTTGAAGTTTACAAAAAAAAAACTTAAATACCATGCCAAATTATTTCTTTAAATTTTCTCCACATATGTTATAAGGGATGGTAAAAAGTATCTTGCTAATCATTAATTTTGTGTGTGTGTGTGTGTATATACGTATATATATCAAAATCATTTGATACATTATGTACAGAATTCTACTTTTAGATATAATACAATATAGTGGTGATTATTAGTTTAAAATAAGAAAAAAAGCATTGATTCTTGTCTATGGGGGATCGAAAAATTATTTTCGTAACTTTCTTTTTAATCTTTTGCGATGAGGATTCTGCTTACCTTTGTGAAAGTGATTATATGAAGGAATCTATAATATTTTAGAATGGATTTTTACTGATAAGAGTGACACGTGGAAGGGAATGGGTGTAATGCCAAGTTTATTATGTAGCTGCGCATTCCGAATGTACCAGGGAGCTTTTGTGATGGCGTGTACAAATCTATTTTGGAAAATTTGCGTTTTTTATGTATATTTTGGCTGCGGCAGCCCAATCTGGAGAAGCGTAGGAAAGTATGGAACGTATCGTTGCTTTATAGATGTGAATAGCAACATGTCGTTAAAGGGGGAGGATATTTTCAGAATCGGATTTAATTGGTGGACTCTACTAGTCGCTAGCGCTACTTACATGGCCGCTTTGCAGCCATATAAGTCTTTTGTCGAACAGAACTCCAAAGTATTGATAGTTTTGTTGGGAAGGAGCCAGGTGATGTTTTGTGATTGGTATGTGAGATGTGGAGGAACGTTTGGTCTACGGAGAGTAAATATTTTGCCTATCTTTTATTTGTATTTATTTCAAAGTGCAATTTTTTGGCCCAGTTGAAAAACAATTTGAGGTGATGTTGCAGATTTTTCACGGCAGATTCAGGATTGCTTTCGGAGAAATGAAGTACTGTATCATCAGCAAAAGAGCAATTTTAGTATTTTGGGTGGTTGGTATATCAGATGTACACATTAAACAAAGTGGAGGAGAGAGTGGATCCTTGGGGTACTCCTGCTTTGATGGTGAAAGGTGCAGAGAGAGCTCCAGGGAGACGTGCAGAAAATGTTCGCTTTGTAAGAAAACTTTGAACGATGAGAACGCATGAGAGATATAAAGGAGTACCTACACTGCTGAATTTGAAAATTAACCCTGGATGCCAAACGGTAACAAAAGCTTCAGCTATATCTATAATAACGGCTGCGGTATGCTTGTAGTCATAGAGTCCTTCGATGGTAACTTCAGTTAGACGTAAGATTTGATGATTCGTAGACAAAAGGGGTTGAAATCCAAACTGGTGAGGTAGTATAGCATTGACTGAGCTGAGGTAAGAATTTAGCCATTTTTCAAATAGCTTTCCCATTGTGGGTAGTGTAACGTATTAGCCAGCGTGCCTCGTGGCAATCTATTTGGGACGCTGCAGAGGATCAGCCTTGCCACAGGAAG